TGCAGGTCTAGGCTTCGAGAGGGCCCGAAGGTCAGGGAACTACGTCGAAGCGATTAGCTGTCACATACACGGCCAATGGGTTGCCGACCGTGGCAGTAAGTCTTCAGGGCAGGGTCACTACGGTCGCGCTCCTTGATACAGGAGCGACAGACGTGTTCGTGTCCAGTGCTTTATACCGTCGGTTGAAGGCAGAGTCCCCAGGCCTGGAGCTAAAGCAGGGTGACATATCGGTGAAGTTGCTCGATAGAGGAGCAGTGAAGATCCAGGGGGTGCTGGAGGCTCTAGCCATTGGGTTCGGTGATCAGACTAGGACAGTCGAGGCCTACGTCTTAGACTCTGCTCATTGGGAGCTGGTTCTACCCCGATGGGTGCTGGGTAACTGTGTTTGGGTGATGGCTGGTAACGACTACCTACTCTTCGATGAGCCTGAGGTCACCCCTCACGGGGGAGTGCAGGAGGCGAGGGAGATAGGCGCTAATACAGTCGAGAGAAGCCGATCTCTCCCGACACGAAGAGTGTGGCCAGCAGTCGTGAAGGTCCCTTGGATTGATGATCGTAGACCTAAGCAGAATTATGATGCCATCAGAGGCCGAGATTTGAAGATCACACAGAGGCTGGCCAAGAGACCTGAAGAGTTAGCAGCGTATGAAGCGGCCGTGGACGAGCTCTTGAAGTCCGGGGCGGTCGAGGAACTCCCACTGGGGGAGGACCCGAGGAAGTGGGCCTACCACTATATGTGTGGGGTTCCGGTCTTCGCCAATCAGCGAAAGTCCACACGCTGTCGTATCTGCATCGACGCTCGAGAGCTTAACAACTTCACGAATAAAGAAGGGGACGAGGAGGCCGCGGACATGGACCTACAGTCACGGATTCTAGAGTGGCGAGCCTCAAAGAGAGTTGATTGTGAGGACCTCAAGAAGGCCTTCTGGTCGGTTCACATCGATGAATCGGATGTGAAGTGGTTGGGGATGTGCGTCGGGTCGAGGATCATAAGGTGGATCCATGTCCCTTTCGGGACGAATTGGTCCCCTTGGGCCCTCTCCTCGGTCTTGGGAAAGATCCTCAAACAGATCGGGGGGACGGACGGGGCCGAAGCTATCTCCTTCTATGTCGACGATGTCCTTCTGCGAGGGGACAGTTGCTCTGAGGTGTCGAAGATTCGTCGGGAGGTGGTTCCCGCATTAGAAGAGCGGGGGTTCGAGGTCCACCAGGACAAGCGAATGTCCAATCTCGACACGGGTGAAGACTGTATAGGTCGAGGGGTATCTAAAGAGAAGATTCTCAGTGAGAAGT